AGGTCCCTTCCAACTCAAACCATTCTGGGATTCTAATTTTGCCAAAGCCATGGAGCACGAGGGATGGCATAGGCTAAAACTCCAGGGCTTTTAAAAAAAAATTGAAATATTCCCTATTTTCTTTCACTTTAAAAAAGATGTAATCCAAGTGTCAGTTTTCAAAGTGGCTGCTACAGCAAGGAAAACAAACTCACTGCTTCTGCAATAGGTGAAGTTGCCTCATTTGTTAATACCAGGGGTTGTGAGGCCTCACTGAGATTACACTGCTGCCATCAGTGATCATTGAAGGGGTGAGGTTTAAATACAGCCTCAAATCCACTGTTTTTACCTTTCCCTGTAAAAAGTTGTCGTTTTTATTTGCATTTCTTGTTACTCCTGGCAAGTCTCTTCACCAACAGCACTGACAGTCACTGACTTACTCAACACTGACTGATATTTGTTTCAGTTTTATCCCAATTTGAGGAATAGGAACTTTTCTGGAAAGTCAGTGCCATGGATCTCAAAATGAACGTACAAAACAAGCAGCATTATCTTTGCAGTACAGCCACCAGCTGGGACAGTCTTCCCACAGAGCTGTGCCACCCAAATGCTGCCCTCAGCAGTCTGACCTCAAGGTCCACCATGATAGGCCTTCTGACATCCAACCTCACAGCTCTTCACAGAGCAGGCCAGGCTGGAAGGCACCTGGAAAGATCATCTGGTCCAAGGAGTGGTGGGAAGGGGAGCCCAGGTGAGATTTTCTAGCACCCTACCCAACTGCATCTTGAAAAACTCCAGCAATGGGGATTCCACCACTTCCCTGGGGAGGTTGTTCCAGTGAATGATGGTTCTCATGGTAAAAAACTTCTTGTATGAAGAGGAGTATGAACATACTGCCATTATTTACCAAAACAAATCCCATTTGAATTGAAAGCATCCACTCAAGTTCCTCAGTATTTATTACATTATCTCCCCTGTAAGCAGCTTAGATGTAGTCCCATCATCACGTTCTTCTCAACCTGGAAGGCTCTGGAACAAGCAAGGAGGAGCTCACTGCTGAGCTTCAGTTGTGTCAAGCTCAATGCACTAGTAGCAGAAGAAAAGAGATGCCCAAGAGTAGCACCACTGCCAGCAAGGATCCATTTCACTGAAACTCCTAAGGGCAAGAAACGGACGATTCCCACCACCCACCCCCATTTTTAAGGCCTCATTAACTCACCTCTCCTGGTATCTGAGCTAATTTTGGCATCTTTACAAAGCATTGCACAGGGCTACCATTCCCAAGGCTTTTAAAGCCACTTGTGGCAAGCCTTCCTCCTAAATGTTTAGCACTTCAGAAGCCTTAAGAAATCCTTAGTACTGTTTTAAAACTGCAGACTCTGGCATTTGAAGGGCTGTTGATCACATTTTCACTCTTTTCATAGAAAAAGCTCTAAAAATTAACCAACCCTTTCTTCACAGAGACCTTGATCATTTAATTCTCAGCACTGAAGAGCAGCTGTTATTTCTTCAGGTATTATAATGTATTTAAAATCAACTTCCAGACTAGCAGGGAACGTAAAAATGACTTTCTAGAAGGAATGGCTGATTTTTTTTGAGTCCAAATATCAATTTTAGCCCCAGAGCAAAACAAAACCAAGCCCTGAAAATGCTGGAATCTGGTGCACAAAATCAGTATTGAATTTGTGTTTTTTATTAAGAGCTGACAAGGATGGGATGGTAGGGATCACTCAGGAAAGCAATTTTTTTTCTGAATACTTAAAAAAACCTGCAAGCCTGTTTGTTTGTTACTTCTCTCAAGAGTTGCAGTGTCAAAACAAGCCACCAAAAGGCCACTAGTGCTCTTCCACCTTTGAGAGGTGGAAGGCAAAGCCTTTATTTCCCTTTCTGCACTGGGCTTCTCTTTGCCTGTGCTGGCCCAGAGCTCCCTGGGGCTTGGTTCACTGTGAGGCTGAGGCACCCTGGGCTCTGCAGCCTTTCCAAACTGTAGCATTCAACTTTTTCTTCACTGGAGACCGTCCTGGTGCTCAGGAGGCGAAATCCACTTTGGAGTAAGGTGTTGAGCAGCAGGCCTAGCACGTTAGTGCCATTAATCAGCTTTCTATTATCAGGCTTTATGGAAATATACCTAAAATGAAGGAGAAAAAAGGAGTTACAACACTTTAATTACTTCCTGAAGAATGGAATGATTTTTTTTTTAAAACCAAAGCAGGTCCTCAGAGGCAGGTCAGAGCAGTTTGCAGCAGCCAAGGTTCCAGGTTTTTTTTCCTTCCTCTGAGGACTATTTAACTCTTTCCCCCAGTTACACAGTGGCACTTCTCTTTCACCACCACATCCAAACTTCCTTAAGAAATAGCTGTGACAACCTCCACCTCAGCTAATTTAATGGAGAGGTGAGTGGCACGTTCAATATCCTGCTGCAACCGTTTTCCAGGGAAGGGCAAATCAGAGACAGGACACTGAAGTCACACTTTCCATCAGAAAGCATCACTTTGATGACACAGGAGCTCTCTCTACAAACAGTGACATTTATTGCAAAGTTACCTTGAACAGCAGGCCTGGTGGTAACAAGGATGAAAATCGTTTTCACCTTGCCTCAAATGATTTTACTTCATATAAAATGCAGTTTGAGAGTCTATCCAGACATTCCGAGGAACAGAGGTAAAAATACTACTACAAAATACAACTGACAGGGGTGAAACTGTTTCATAGTACACCAAGCATTTGTGGAAAGCACAGGAAAGGCCAAAGAGTCCATGTCACCACAAAGAATAAGTTGATAGACATTCAAGAGGCAACTTCATCGAACTCGACTTGTTTCATTACCCAAGATAAACTTTTCTATTCATCTGCAGATAAAAATATTCACCAAGTCTAAAGAAATAAAGGAAAGAATCAGGAATATTTTCTTTGCTGTTGAAGTTGCCATAATCTACTCAACCAATTGGTAGTCCACTAAAATTAGTAACACATTATAAAGTTCAGGTTTGGATTATGTTTGGCAATGGAGTTTTTCTTCTATTTGCTTAGCTAAAGAAATCTAGAAGAGAAATAAACCTTTTTTTTTCTTTTTTAAACAATCAAACTGCTCTGTTGATTCCTATATTCAGATAGAATAATCCTTTTGGAAATATTTCAATGAAATTTCCATAAAATTCCACAGGTTCTAACACCCACAGAGAACAAATTAGGTTCCATTGTCTTATACAGTAAGAAGGTGTCTCCATACAATAGAGACATCCAGCAAAAGCCTGTTTAAAAAATGTAATTTGTTATTAGAATACAATACTGATATCACAAAAATCACTGATATACAGTAATCTTAATAAAACCAGAACATTTTCTCTGAATTCAGAGAAAACCCACTGTGTGGCATGTAGCTATGCCCCTTCTCCCTCCCCCCAGTGAAAGGCTCTACAGAAGTGTTCCAGCTCCTGAATTTCTTAGTTCCAGTCATGCTTTTAACCCCATTTAGCCATTTTTTTTCCTCTTTTCCAAATGAAAGTCTTTTGGATGATGAGCTAGTGGAGATGTTAGAATTCCCCAGTGCTCCACTCCTTATTTACTCTGTTTCCTTCGCTTCATTTTCCTCTGTGTTTTTTCAAGTCTAGAAGGTCATTGATAGTGTGAAATTCTAAAGCCTTGGAGAGTGAGTGAGGAGGAAAGGGCAGAGAGAAAACACTCCACAGAACTCAAAAATGAGCACTGAGAACAGCATTTTAGAAAGCTGAAGAACAGGCAAACCAGTGCAACAGAAATGAAACCGGGTACTTCAGAACCAGAAAAAGATGTTAAACCAGCAGAAAGAAGGAAACCTATTTCCTTTCTCTCAGACAGCTGTCCAACAGTTTCTTTAAAATGAGCTTTGAAGTCACAAAGGCATTTCCATTACTAAGAAGTCACACTAGGGAGAGTACCTGGCCACAAACTGGTCTCCAGCAGAGTAGTCAGTACCACACTGAAAAGCCATGTCGTGGTGGGAAGGTCTTTCCAAAGGAAGAGGAACCAGTGGTTTCTGAGAAGGAAAAGGGCTGTTCCAGCTCTGCCCCGAGTGCTGCCCTGTGAACACAGTGATCTGCTCAGCCAGCGTCTCCACGGTGGTGCTGCAGGAACCAAAGATCCTGAAAAAAGCCTGCATCTCTTGGAGAGAAAAACGCACTTCCAGGACCTCCCGCCGCGGCCTCAGCAGCTGCTCCTGGCTCAGGAGCTCGGCCAGAGGGCAGAGCCCGTAGAACTCCGCTTCCCTCCTCAGCCTCTGGTAGTCTGAGAAATCAGCAGGTAGGGAGACCTGCAGAGTCCTCAAGAAGTCGAGGATGTAACTGAACAAAGCTCCATCTCTGTCCACGAAAAACTCTCCGTTCAGCAGCTGAAACTCCTGGTCGTCGTTGCTGAGCATCCGCGCCAGCCGGGACTCGGGGAACTGCTGCAGGGTAGAGGCCCTGGTGACAAACCTCACCCCGCCCACGCTCAGAGCCACCACCTGACTGCTCATCCCACCTCAGCCACCGAGGAGCTGTGTTTGACTTGATCCTTCCCAAACTGCAAGGCCTCTGCAGCTGCAGGAGCCACTCAGGGCTTTCAGCAAGTGTTTGGAGCGAGGCGTGGAGCGGCGACGGGATCTCCAGGCAACAGAGGTTGGACAAGAGTTTTGTTTGCAGGGTTTGGTTGCTTGGAAACTTTGATTCTTGGAATTTAATGTTTTATTTTTTAAATGAACAGCGTGCACGGGCTACTGGAAGACAGTGAATTGACTGTCACAACTTATTAAACCTCCAGAGAGGCCAGGGAGTACCCCCAAAGTGTGGCAGTCGTTACGGCTGTTGCCTGGAAATGTCAACTAGAGGTTTTCCTTCTACGTATGGCTGGTCCTAGGACCACTGCAAAAAAGAGGGTAGGTGTGCTTCAAGCAATGTGTTTCAGCACTGTATGCTCTCAGAGAAGGGCACTTCAGAGAACTCAAGTGTGCTGTTCACTTCAATTGTTATCACAGAATTGCTGTGGTTGAAAAGGACCTTCAAGATCATCGAGTCCAACCATTATCTGTCTCTACCAGGCCATTCCTACACCATATCCCTGAGCAACCCATCTAGATGGGTTCTAAATACATCCAGGGATGATGATTTAACCACTTCCCTGGGCAGCCTGTTCCAGCCCTTGAGATCCAGTATGTAGTTATGCTACAGCCAAATCAATACACTCAGAAAATTCCATTAATCTCTGAAACAAGGTACATGAAAATACCCTGGAAGAGCCTATAGATGTTCCAGTGCACCAGCAGCACCTGTGCTCTTGTCACATTACACACTCTGCTCCAAGGAACCATCCCATCATTCTTCCTGGCTCTGGAATCATGAACTGGAGAGGCAGAGAGGGACAGGACAGAGATTCCTTTACTCACCACCACTTTTGAAGGAAGTGTGGCTCCAGAGAAACATGCATCTAACCAGACCCTGCTCCCCCAAAAACTGGATGCTGGGAAAGTAAACTGCAAAGTATGTCCTACCTTGCAGCTTGTTCTTATCACCCTCAATCGACTTCTCTCTACCCCTGTAATTTATGCTTGCCCTGAAGATACATTTTTGTACAGAACATGTAAACAGGAACCAGTATCTACAGCAATCTGGATGCACAGGACAATTACACCATTTGGTTACACAAAAATTACACCTCTACTTCAGTAAGGAGCAACATCCTCAGGCAGAGAGCAGCTCCAGGATGTGGATGATGAGCTCTGCATCATTTTGCAGCAGAAGGGCAATCCTCAACAGTCTCTTGGTACAGTGCTCTTCTCAACCCCTACTGCTCTTCCTCTTCCCAAACCACTTCCCTGGTAGGAAAAAATATTTAACTATGCCCTTTTAGCAAGTGATTCTTTTCCTCTTAGTTTAACATTAATGTAATTGTAGAACAAGTACACAGTTTGGCTTTTATATTTTAAGAAAAATGATTTACAGTGAATAATATTCCCATAATCATCACCAAAAGAAGATTCCAGAAACAATGTCTTTTTCAGAGCTCTGCTTGACCTTCCAGTTCATCAGTGCTCAAACGATGTGAACAGTGTGAATGCTCTGGAAACATTTTCAATGGCTGTTTTTCACTGGCAGTCTGAAAAAAAAAACCCACACCATTAGTTTTAAGTTATCTGTTTTCTTCACCAGATCTCTCTTAAGTTCTTCTGTTTCAGCAGGGACTTCACAACAGTTTATATTTGCACACAAACTGTGCAACATTATCCAGTACAACCAACGTATAGTTTTTACACTTTTCTCTTAGAAGGGAAGCTCCATCTGTCATCTGTTCCCAGTAAAAGACAGCATGATCTGCTATCTCCACTGTCTCTGCCAAATAGGACAAGCTCATGGTGAAGAACTGAGATTTCCAGCACTGGAGGTTGTCGATGACCGACTCCACAAAGGACATTCTGGTGACAGCAAGGAGAAGCAAGCAAAGAAGAGAGTTCACTAGAAACCTGCGTGAAAAGATGGAGGGGATCTTGAATTTAACAGTGTTGTTCTCCTGAGGCAAAGAGAGTTTGTCCACATCAACTAGTTTTATTCCATTCCACTGGCTGGTATCAAAGCTCTTCATCGTAGAGCTGATGTCCACGCTGGGACAGGGTAAGGGGGTTTCTTTGAGCACCTTGATTTTTTCCCTGAACTCCTGCATCTGTTGCAGGAACACGATGGGTTCAGACACATCTTTGAAGGCCTCTGCAATGTTAAAAGCCATCCGTTGCTCTTGCAGGATGGTGTTCAGCTTATTGATCTCTGGGTCATAGGCCTGCATCACTGCAAGCTTCATGGTCTCAAAGTCAGACAGGATCTCGTTGCGTTTCTGCTCCAGCGTGTGCTGCAGCTTCTCAAAGAACTCCTTCACCTGGTCAGAATCCTTGGTCAGGATCTGCAGAGCTTTCCTCTTACTGGTTTCTAAGGTATCCAGCCTGGAGAGGGCGTCTCCACAGCGCCAGGTCTCAAAGCCCTGGAAGAGGGTCTCAAAAGCCCTCTTCTCCTGGGAGTAGGCCTCCTCGATGGAGCAGAAGACGTGCTTGGTGTGGTCCCCACGGGTGGCACAGACCCCACAGATGAGCTGCGTGTCCGTGCGGCAGAAGATGTTGAGGGGCTGCCCGCTGTGCACTCTGCACACGGGCATTTTGGGGGTCACCTTGATTTTGTTGTACTTCTCCACGATGCCTTTCAGGGAGTAGTTGACCTGCAAGCTGTTGAGGCCGGTGACGGGGGTCTCCTTCCTGCACGTGGGGCACTTGAAAGGGGAGGGTCTCCAGAGCACATTCCGCACGTTCCCCTCAAGGATTCCTTCCAGGCACTTCCTGCAGAAATTGTGGGAGCAGGGCAGGACACGAGGGTCATCAAACAGGCTACAGCAGATGGGGCAGGTGAGATCTTCCTCCAGGAGCTCCATCATATCCTAGGAAAGAGAGGAAAAATGGCAACAGAATGTATGAAATTTATTTCTCCTCCGGGGAAACCATGCAAAACCCAATCAAAAAGGAAAAAGGATCAACTTTCTTCTCCAGTATCCTTAAGACAGAGCAGCCAGTCCAGTTAGCTGTGGTCTCTGGCCACCAGATGGCAGGTTCAAGCAGAACCATTTTTGGACTCTCAACTAGAAATGCTGGAAAAGGCAGCTTGCCAAACCCAGCATGGACTCTGAATGGGAATAACTCATGGACTCATAAGAACAGTTCAAGACTTGCACCTTTCCTCACTCATGCAATACACAGAAAGTTGGATTTTCACAGAAGATATCCAACCAACAGGCCCTGCTAAGTCTTGCCTGCTCTCTACTCACTCAGCCCCTCCAAAGCTCACAACTGCCACGCACTGCTGCTGTGAGAAGGCAAGAGTAAAGATGGAAAAGCCCAGCTCCAGATTTTCTTCAGCTACAGAACAGGTGGTGTGGCTCTTTGTTCTACCTGCAGAGCCAAAGGTGAGTCAGCACTCACTCAGAGTTAGCTTTTCTCCTGCTCCTGCAATATTTTTAAATCCCCAAGAGAAGGTGTTATTGCCAAGTCCTCAGCTGCAGACACCTTATAACTTACAGCGTGCTCTCAGAAAACAGATACCTAATAAAGACCAAAATGGATGACAGTTTGTATTAGCCAAAACTCTCCAACACTTAGTTTTGAGCTATAATTAGAAAGAGGCTTCCCCTGTATAAATTCCTTCCACGTTATACAGTATGTATTTATTTATAGATAGGTAATAAAATTGCTTTTATAAATTAAAAGATGTGCCACCAAAAAGAGATGGGTAAGAATACTGCTGTGACAGCAAGGCACATGAGCAAGGGGAAGATTGGATCTTCTCTGCAGGGGAAGATGCATGCTGCTGAGGACAAGAAGAGCAATAAAATCAAAACCACTGACCCAAGGAAAGCAAAGATCACTCCAAGGAAGAAAGGCAAGGTCACTCCTGAGTTTCCTTCACAGGGGGACAGATACAGTCCCAGCAAGACTTCACAGTAACGTTCCTAAGAGGTGTCAGCCAACCTCCCACGCCTCTCCAGTGAGGAGGAAGAGGACTATCCTCTGTGCCTGTTTGTCTAAGGAGAGGTTGAAAAAGCTGCCAGCTTTTTAACTCAGCTGCAGGACTAAGATCATGGGGCAGAAGCAGCCACCATTACAGCTAGGGACAAAACCCCAGAGAAAAGGTCTGACTCCATTTACCACCCAAGGTCTCCTGTAAGACCATGGATACAGTCCCAGCAAGACTTCACAGTAACGTTCCTAAGAGGTGTCAGCCAACCTCCCACGCCTCTCCAGTGAGGAGGAAGAGGACTATCCTCTGTGCCTGTTTGTCTAAGGAGAGGTTGAAAAAGCTGCCAGCTTTTTAACTCAGCTGCAGGAATAAGGTCATGGGGCAGAAGCAGCCACCATTACAGCTAGGGACAAAACCCCAGAGAAAAGCTCTAACGACTCCATTTACCACCCAAGGTCTCCTAGAAGACCATGGATCCCATTCAAAAACTTCACATTCTGTGAGAGGACAGTGATTTTGAAGCACCTCTCAAGGCTAGAACAAGAAGCATTTCTCTTCCATCCTCTTTCTACTGCTAAAAAGAATGGGCTGATGGCAAGACAATTATTTTGGCCCTGTACCTTTGAGTGTTCCTCTTCATGAGCAGCTCTCTCTTTCCAGCTTGTACTCACAGCTTTTAGTCATGATAGCAGCACAAAGATGAGTCTTGCAAGTGTGTGAAGAAGCTAATAATTACAAAATAAAATTACAATTCTCCATCTTCTACTAAAGGCAAAACCACAGTGCAGAAAATATTTGCCCCAGTCCATCTCCTTCACCAGGGAGGATTTTATTCCTTATTTAGGGAGGTTGAAAAGCAGCTCTGCAGGCCTGACAGCAAGGACTGCAAACCACTGCAGAAAACACTTACTACAACACCTTCCACCAAAACACCTTCCACCAAAACTGCAGGACAAGCATTGAAGACTTCCATGCTCCCAAAAATACAAAAAACATACACAAAAGATTTCATGATCCAAATAAAACTCTCCAATTCCATTCCAAATCCACTTATCCAGCTAATTATGCTTTACAGATATAACTGAATTTCAAAACCATTTCATGGCATCATTAAAAACCTCAGATTTTAAAAAAAGAAATGGGTGAGTCTAAAAGCTTTTTTTCTCCCCTCTTACACTAGTAACACCAGACTAAAAATACTAAAAACTTATATGACTGTCTGGGACAGCTAAACTTCTGTCTTCTTTAGGACATCAATTTCAGAGAGTAAGTTGTGTGCAGATTAAAACAACCCTTTGTATTAGCAGCTTGGTATTTGTGCAAGGAATTACAGCAACGTTTCAGCTTCTCCACTGAGAATTTCTCTGTGGAACTTCTGATCCAGGCTTGGATGGCCCTGGAATTCCCTACTCATACCACGCAGACCAAAAGGCAGTTCCCTCCTTCACCTGAGCAGCATAAACTCACTAGGTGCAAACCCAGCAGGTGTCACCTGTCAGAAAAAACAACCTGCAAAGTTTTATCTTTAGGAAGAATGGCAAAACAAATCCAAGCATAAGAGCAAAAACAAACAGTGCTCCAAAGAGAATTTCACTTAGCCTGCAACCCAGCACAGAAGGGGAGTTGATCAGCCAGCAGTAGGCTGAAAGCAAATCCAGGATTTCGCCAAGCTTCAAACAAAACAAGAAGATATCTCTTCAATTACAAATTTCCTGCAGTGGAATTTAAATAGTCTAAACGAGACTTGACCAAGTCAGGCTGCATTTCCACACGCAGCTGAGCCAGGCAGGAGACGTCTTGTCCCTCTTCCTTTGCAAAGACCTTGGTCCTTGTCAGGACCTCCTAGGAGCAAAATTTCACCGGCTTTTTATCAGGCTGGTGTATTCCATCAGCCCAAAAAGGTCCCGGAGCGGGGAAAGCAGGAGTCGGAGCGATGGCAGCTCCTCCTTCCAGCAGCAACCACCTCAGCTCTGCTCACCGCACCAACACCAACCGGAGCCCAAAGGAGGGTCGGCGCGAACGTTCTAACCCGGAGCGACTGACCTCCAGCTGCGGTAGGTGTCCAGGCGGCCAAAAACCGCTGGGGAGAGCGGCCACGCGTTAAACCTCTTCTCCCCGGCCCAAGTCTTCGGAGGGGTGGCAGGCAGAGCCGGCGCGCCCAGGCTGCGGGCAGCTCGGAAGGCCTGGCGAAGCGGGCAGCAC